ATAAGAACAATCCATTCTCACGGTTGTGAGCCGACCTTATTATAGTAAAGATGATGTATAAATATGATGTGTTGTTCCTTAAACTATGTAGTCTAGATCAATTTAATACAACATCTTACAGTTACAGGCCAACCTTTGTCTTTTTATATTTGCGTGGCTCACTGAATCGGATGGTGTAACGCACAAATAGACGTATTAGCGTATCATCGAGTTCATAGCTCCTATAGTAATTAACAGACGCAGACATAACAAAGTAGCAACGGATCTATTCATTTATGTTCAGTTCAGTTATAAAAAAGTGAGCTGACATCGGTTAGAGAACCATTGGAGTACTGGACAACTGTTTCATCTCGGCTTGTGGCTCTTCACCGGTATGCATCCACTCATTGGATCGGGTCCCAGTGGCTAAATAGTCTACGAGCTAACTTGAAGCGAAGTTAAACTTTGAGCACCACTAACTACCAATCAGCGAATGGCCTTGAACGCACCAATCACATGAAGGAGGCATTTCTAATTATGAAATACATATATTTATGCAAAAAAATGCATTAAAGCTGTATAAAAACATCTCCCAGTTTAGCATAGGAGTATCAATTGAAAAGTTACACCACACACTATGCATATATTCATCTAAATGACTATAAATGTCACCCGTTTGTGATCTATTGGTGTCTCTAATCTTGTTTTTTAATCTTCGCCAAAACTCTTCAATATAATTAGTTTGGGTCCCTATTCTCGACCACGTCTGTATTTTTTCTTTAGTAGGACAGTTTCATCTCAATGTACGACGACACCTTCTTCCCCAAATAAGGAAGTAAACCTCTCCATTTTCCAGGATGCGATATCCCTGCAGTGCTGTTACCAGTGAATCGTTGATTTGAGACTATTTTCGGTTTCAGCAGGTGCACCTCTCACAGGCTGTTTTAAAACCCAGAGTAATTACAAATATACAAAATCTGGGTTAAGGACAAGTGGGACCTGGCAAAAAATGTTCCTACGAAATATTAGGAACATTAGCTTACCTTTCCTGACACTAAGTCGTTCAGAGAAAGTCTGCACAATGATGCACATATCCATCAACCGACCTACTGAAGCTTTTGATACTCATGACACCTCCACATGAACAAATCGTTTCTTTCCTAATGAACCCAAGATCCAAGCAACACTGGAAAATCTTCCACAAAACGCAAGCGCAACTGCGTTAGAACAGGCATTTGACTCGAGTCAAGGGGATGAAGCTCATTGGATGATTCCAAGTCATTTACTGATTGGTAGTTATTGGTGCTTAAAGTTTAACTTGGCCGACAACAGAAACAGATGTCCAGTAGTCTAGTACAGGTTTTCCATTGGTTCTGTAAACGATATCGGCTTATGATAGAATCCTATAACCGATCAATTCCCTGCAAACCAATATTTGAATGTATAAAATGTGCATTCATATATAGTTATCAAGTTATTGGGATCTTGCAATTAGAGCTAGTTTAGTTTTACCAGTCAAAAAATCGGTGAGTTGTGTGTTGTGACCACTTTGATTATCTCGGAAGGTGGAGGAAGGTGACCTGGAGGAGATCATGTGAAGAGGAATTGAAAGCATGTGGGCAGACTTGGAGCCAGGTGAAAACTACAGCAGAGAACCGAACGCAATGGAGACGCATGGCTGAAGCCCTATGTTCCTCTAGGAATTAAAGGAAATAATAATAATAAGTGGATCAGTAACTCTAATGAACTGATTTCTAGAGAAATCTTGCCACAGATACAAAAGGTTGTTGTGTGATATTCGCAAAATGACGTCATTTCTGACGCAGATGTTGTACCTAGCCAATGATCAAAGGATATGTGTACTGCTCAGCAGATGGCTCGCTCCCGCCAAATGTAAGATGATGCTACAGGACTGGACTACACTGACTCCTAGTTTAAGAATAGGGAGGGAATCGGTAGCGCACGTTGACCGCTTCACTTATTTGGGAAGTTGCATTAGCCAGTGCCATTGGGTTGATCGCTGATGAAATCTCAGCACGGATACAGAAGGCTAGTTTCACATATGCCAGTTTACGCCGTCTCTGGATTAGTAGACGTGTTAGCTGGCTTGTGTGTTATATAAATTTCTAGCAATCTCAGTATTCTAACTGTCATTTCAGAGATATTTTTATGTATGATAGGATGAGTTTTCTTGTTGTCTTTGTTGATGGTTTCTTTTTCTTGGTGTTATGACTCGAGTTTAAACACCTTTCGATGAAATTATAAGGATACCCATTCTTTTTGAGGACGGTTAGTAGGTATTCTTTTCTTCATTCTCTTAAACACTGAAGTGCTGCAGTGCGTCTGAACTCTTTTAAACAATCTTTGCAAACAGTTTCTCTTCTGGGTAATCGGGTTATTACCATCACAGTTGAGTAATTGGTCGGTGTGCGTTGATTTTCTGTCTACTTGTGTTTCTAAATTTCCTGTGTTAGTTCTCCTGATTAAGACATGCAAAAAAATGGAATTTCGTTGTCTAATTCTTCTTCTCTCGTGGTGAATTTAATGTCTTCAAATATGTTGTTTATTAATTTATGAGTATATTCCAAATCATTTCCTTTATTTATTACAAATGTGTCATCAACATAACGTACCCAGATTTTTGGTTTAATTATGGGTAGGGTTATTAGTTGTAATCTTTGCCTAACTGCGTCAGCTATTAATCCCAACATGGGTGATTCTACTGGTGTTCCTTTTATCTCATTGTATATTTGAGTACTGAGTTGGAAGTATGTTGTAAGACATAATTCTATGACTTCTATCCAAGTTGTACATTGCCTATTTTTTAAGTTTTCATCGCTATAGAGTAATTTTTGTATAGTTTCTTTTGCTAGTTTTGGACTAAGTCAAGTAATATAATGCTGTGAGATCGAAAGACACCGTTATTTCATTGGGAATTCTGTTAGTCCAGTGATTTGAACAAACTGCCATGTGTGAGGTTCTCTGTTCTTCTATTTAGTCTACTGTCTGTCAAATCGAACAATTTTTTCACCAAAAACAAAGCGTTGATCAAATCGTATGCGGTGTTGATATTAATTTATATTACAAGGCGTCGGATATATATATATATATATATCCGACCATGATAGTGAGCCACCTAGCAAAGCCTTACTTTTTACAAATTCAGTTCCTTGGGGATAACATCAGTGAGATGTTAACAGAATGCCTAGGGAATACGGCGGTGAAAAGACCATTCAATGCTGCTGAATTCTGCTTTGTCTTCAAAACCACCCACTCCTATTTTGCGTTCGGCAGTAAAAGATAAACTGCCTAATTTCGCCTCTTCCATGTGTATCTACCAATTTGACTGTTCCTGTGGAGGTAGTTAGCTACTTAGGCCGTACAATTAGATGTGTTTATCGTCAGATCTCCGAACATCATCCTGCGTGGTTAAGTAAAGGAAAAACAGAATCTATTCGCAGCGCTATGCTATCTCATCTTGTGCATACAGAACACAAGATTGATGTCAACGAGACGGCTTTCATAGTCATTTACAACATAGCAACAAATCTTAATTTCGCCTTTAGAGTTCGATTTCTAAATATTGCTGAGACTGTTGGGATTCACATTAAGAAGTCTAATTTGTGTGTCCAAAAGAAGCTAGTTCAGAAATTATCCTTACCTTGGCCATCTAGGTTCGAATGATCCCCGATTTTTCGTACAAATTTCCTTAATTTTATTTGACATTCTATTTGCTATTATATCTTTATTATTATTATAATAATTTAAGCATCTTTAATGAATTGATATTCTATTAATCTTACTTAACAAATCGATATTATTTAGAAAACATTAATATTGTTATTGACTACTATTCTAGAGTATTCTATGTATATAAACAAATATATATATATATATATAATTGTAGGGGCAGAACAGGAAATTATCGAAAAAAATTCTCTGCTCAATTATCTTATGTTATATATATATATATATTATAAATAATTGTTCCCTTGGGTTCCTATTGGAACATAGGGCTTCAACAACGCATTTCCACTTTCTTCTATTATCTGGCATCCTCTTCAACTGGATCCACGATTGCCCAAACTCTCTCATCTCTCCCTTACACGATGTCCTTCATGTCACCCTCACGCCGAGGACCCAATTGTCGCTTCCTATTTCGATTCCACTCGAGTGATGGCCTGTACTGCTCGCGATGTCATTCAACGACCTCCTCAACGTGTGTCCGACACATCCATCTCCATTTTCTCCTACATATTTGTTGAGCGATTAGCTTTCGTCTGTTGGTTTGTATCCAGCCAGCCAGAGTCTCTTGTTGTTAGTTCTTTCTGACCGGCCAGCTGGCGATTTGGTCTTCACTATGGATCCAGCCAGCAAAGGCAGCTGCAGATAAAGGTCTGTAACTTGTTGGAAATCTGTAACGACAGAAGACAAGAGCCAGGCAACATATCGTTTATTGAGGAAATCAATAGATATTTGTAGATTTTTATGTACATTATTATTCTTTATTGCTAGCAGAGCAGCAACGTCTTTTGATTGGTTGTTTTCTCGCTCAAGCTTATTCTGTTATCTCTTTGTGGCCGTTTCTTAGATGGTTCGGTCTGTGAATCGTATCTGCCGACGTTAAGTCTACTGTGTTTTTTCTAATGACCATGATTTGCAACGTAAATTGTTGTTTACAATTTTGGCTAGCAAACAGCTCTCACCACAAATCCTTTTCGAATCACGTAAACAAGTTTCTGACCCACATAGAAGGATCGACTTGACATTTGTGTTAAAAATGCTAATCTTATTCCTTATGCTGGTTGTAGAATATTTCCAAATTGGTTTCAGGTTGATGAAGTATATATATATATATATATATATATATATATATATATATATATATATATATATATATATATTTAAAACGTAAAAAATCAATATTCATTGACACATTGATGTGTATGTATGTATATATTGAAACCATTTAACAAGTCTACCTCACAGAAAAAGAACACACCTATATAACATACAGTTCAATGGATTTCGAACGTAATGTAAAAATTGTTGAAGAATTGAAAATGGAAATGAATTCATTAAAAGAACAACTGAAATTTCAACGTCCACAAACATCTGACTTGATTAAAAGTTTATTTCAATATTTTATCGAGAAAGCTGATGAAGACATTTGGCTTGATAAAAGTGCAGCAGTTAAAGCAGATAATCCATTCAAGGAGAGATCATGTTGTCCACTTTTATAAAACAACTACAACGAAAATAAAACAAGTAAATAAATCCCCAGTTTGAATGATAATTCAATGTGTTCAATATACATTAAATACACATATATTGAAAATAATCGCGTACATTTTTGTTGTTGCTATTGCTGTCTAAGTGGTAGAGTCAAATGGCGGTAGTCTGATTTTATTGTGTTTCAACATAGAACTCTGCATATAAATGGAGCAGTTCAAGTTGCCACACTCCACTCCTTGTAGCACATAAAGCAACAGAAAAAAGTAGAAGAAATGCAAAATAGTCACAGTAGACAGGGATATGAAACAAACGGAATAGTAATAACGAAGAACAATATAGTTTCATTGGGTATTATAAGTCACAAGTAGTGGATACATCTGTGGCAGACATTGAGAACGATTTTGAGCCATATCACCCACCGATTGTCTCCAGCGTTCATTGGCTTTTACCGTCCCGGGGACCCCAACCAGTCAGCCGACCAGTATACACCTTCCTACGTGACTGGCTTAAACTAACTGTTGCGAAATGTTTCGCATATGCCAGTTTACGCCGTCTCTGGCTTAGCAGACGTGATATCCGACTACTGACCAACAGTCCGCTCTGTCCTCCTTTATGGCTGTGAGACCTGGCTATTGAGAGCGGAAGACATGAAAAGATTAGCTGTGTTCGATTATAGGTGTCTGCCTTCTATCTCCCACGTGAAGTGGCGTAATAATGTGAGCAATACTGAGGTTAGGCGTCGAGTGCTAGGTAAGGCGGGGAAATCAGTCGATGAAACTGTGAAACTACATCGACTGAGATGGTTAGGACATGTGCTACGTATGCCTAGTCATCGCCTTCCTCGACCGGCAATGTTAGCTGATATAGGGCCATGCTGGAAAAGAACTAGCGGCGGTCAAACCAAATCATGGCACCAGTCAACGAAATCTACAACAGTCTAAGCCAGCCAGCCACGTAGGAAGGTGTATACTTTCTCACTGGTTGGGGTCCGCGGGACGGTAAAAACCAGTGGTTGGAAACAATTGGTGACATGGCTCAAAACCGTTGTCAGTGGCGCAGATGCATCCACTCCTTGTGACTCATTATTTCCAATGAAACTCTTTTGTTCTTCGTTATTACTATTCCTTTGTCTCACACCTCTGTTTACTGTCTCTATTATGCATTTCTCCTACTTTCTTCTCCTGCTTTGCGTGCTAGAAGGAGTGGAGTGTGGCGACTTGAACTGCCGCACATATGTGCGAAGTTCTATGTCGAAAACCGACCGACCGACCGAACTGTTGTGAAATGTGCATCCTGAATTCTACTGTGTATCTGCTATGCCTTATTCCTGATGTTTTTATTTTTTATTTTTTTTTCCTTCACGTTCCCCAGTGGAACATAGGGCTTCAAGCTAGAGGCTTGAAGTTTCTGTAGCAGTGTTTATTTTACAGAATGAGGTTGCTAGCCTCATGCCCAACCTTTCCACTTCACCAGCATTATCTCTGGCTTAGCGAGGTAAAGGAGTGCGTCTGTGGCCGGGGATCGAACCCCGGACCATGTGCATGGTCGGCGAGCGTCCTAACCGCTATGCCACCGACGCACAAACATTATCAGGGCGAGGCGTATGCAAATAACACACAGCCTTCTTCAAACCTTGCACACAACCATTAGGTCGCGTACTGTCCCATCGCCCTTGGCAGATCTGGCAACAAAAGTCACGAGAACACCATCAGAGCATATGACAGGTTAGGTACCCCTAAAAGGAGTGCGTCGGCCGGGGATCGAACCCCGGACCATGTGCACGGTTGGTGAGCGTCCGAACCGTTATGCCACCGACGCACTATTCCTGATGGTTTGATGAAATCACGCTGTTGATATAAGTGATAGGTTCATAATCGAAATTGTACCAGTTTGACCAGTATTTTTATTGTAATGTAGTGAATCCTATCACTTAGTAGAGTAACACAGACTGAAACTGTTATAACGGAAGGTTGCATATTTATGGTTGTCATTCAACTCAACTGGAATGCACGTTCAGGACACTATACTCTGGTCAACTGATCATTTGAAAATATTCCCCACACTGAGATAGACACAGAAGTTAGATTTAAGTGGGACGACAGCGACAACAATTTATCATTTAAAATAGGCGTCTGTGGCACAGCCGTTAGGACTCTCGCAGACCATGTACATATTCCGGGGGTCGATCCCCTGGCGACGCATACCTGATATCAACGGCCGGTCTGCAAAATTTGGGCTACCGATATCATATGCTGAAAATTTCATACTTTTACCAAAAAATACGGTGTGGAATCAAGCTATAATCAAAATAGATTCAGACTGGTGCCGTGTTTTGGTTTGAACGCCGCTAGCTCCTTTCCGGCCTAACCCTATGTCCGCTACATTGCCCCTCGAGGAAGGCGATTGCTAGACACGCATGCGTAACACATGTCCTAACCATTTCAGTCGATGTAGCTTCACAGTCTCGTCGACTGATTTCCCCTACTTACCAATCACTCAACCGAAGCCCTACTATACTACTTAACATGGAAGATAGAACGCAGGTACCTATGATTAAAGACAGTTAGCTGGCCTTTCCATGTCCTCCACTCTCAAAGGCCAGGTCTCACACTCCACACACACTCCATGTATTACACTAAGTTGACAAAATAGTGATTCAAAAGAAGTATACGGGGAAAAAGAATAGTGACATGGAAAAACAGGAAGATTTAGTGCATGGAGTAGATCAAAAAGACTGAATGCATCTGTGCGATCGAGGACGACTTCTATCAATATCACCACTTCTCTTTTGCCCTGTATCGGAGTTTACGTCGTCCATGTTCTGCTTTCCTCCTGCATTGTTGACTGTTTCTTTTCGCTCCATCCTCCATGTCGTCATACTCCACTGCTGGTAACGGAGACAGTTCTTGTTATGTATTGATAGTCGTGGTTTCCTCCCGTACATCAATTGAAAGGCTGATTTCTTCATAGTTTCTTTGGCGTGCTCTCGCAGAATCAGTGGCAGCCACTGGGAGACACTCTCAGTTACCTCCCTTTGTGTCCGGTCACTATTTTAAGGAACGGTTGTTTCTTGCCGTCAAACGTTTCATTTGTGGATGATGTGGCTCTGTTCTAGTTTTCTTCATACCTAGCTCTTATAACCGGTTATTAAAATTGATCAACACATAAGGTGAGTTTTAGATAAAGGGTATCAAGGTTACGTACTGAGATGAATAATCAGGATGCATATAGAAACGAAGGGAAGTGTAGTATTACGTAACACAAAAGTTATAAAGAGTTTCAAAAAAAATTATCATGTTAGCAGAAGACAACGAGATCGTTCCCATGAGAGTAGAAGTGGGTTGGATAGTACATTTTTGTATACAGTACTCCTCTTTGTCTATCTGACTACCTGTAGCTTCAACAGTGCATATATATATAATATATACGATTGTATTGATATGAAAATGAGATGCCAACATTTCAAAAGAAACAACTGTTCATGAAATTGTAATTTAATGGGGACGTGGCGAGTGAAGTCCCACATCTAAGATTATCGAGGAAAATTAATCGGACTTAAACTGCAGTCACCCTTTTTTGTCACTTTCCAACTGCCGACCAATTGTGATTGCTCAAGTGAAAGACAGGCTGTGCCACTTTTATGTGTATCTACAAATTTAGTTGCTCCTCTGGAGAAAGCTGCATAGGGCGAACAACTAGACAGCTTAATAAACGTATCATTACTGGGCATCTTCCTTCATGGTTAGGAAAAGGCTAAATAAAATCTATAAGAAATTCTATTTTTGACTCATTTGATTGATGCTAGTGGTCTTCAAGTGGACAGAAGAAGTGCCTTCAAAGTTATCTATCGCATTCCATCAAATAACCTTTCGAACGGAATTCGAACCCGCCTGCTAAACACATAGCCGAAGAGGCTATGGGAATTAATTCGAGAGAACAATCCTAGTGCCTTTGCATACAACAAAAGAAGTTTGTTCTGCCTTTGTCTCTCCCTTGGCCTAAGGGGTAAATTCTAATCAAACCCTCCCACCCTTTCTTACATGGTGGAAATCTTTCGATTTTAAATAACCTAATTTAAAATACTCGTGCACATGTATTCTACAATCTCTCATAGTGGACAGCTGGGGAAATATTGCTCTTGATACATTTAATCCTACTCCAAAGATAATACGGTGGGGATATGTAGATGACACTTTCACACACAGTGTTAAAAACAGAACATACCTCCAGTTTTTCCACACATGTAAATTCACTAGTAGAGGGAATAAAATTCACATTTGAATCGGAAAATGAACAAGGAGAATGAGCTGTGCTGTTAGATTGTAAAATAAAACGAACAGAAGAGGGTAAACTGCACACTAGAGTTTATAAAAAGCCAACGCATTCTAATAGATATTTGGACTTTAATTCATCTCATCCTTTATGTGTTAAGGTAGGCTTAGTTAAGTGTCTAACAAACCAAGCAGTTGCACTAAGCAGCATAAAAAAGACCTAAACGATGAAATGAAACAGATAGAAGGACAAGCGTTGGTGTTAAATAGTTTTCCTGTAAAATTCATCAGGAAGATCAAGAAAGGTCAAAAGCAAAATAGAAATAATGGTGAAACTGATAATGATAACATAAATAAGAGAGATTATAGGGTATATACAGTGGTTCTACCATAAAATTTGAAGACATCTGAGACCCTACTTAGGATTCTCAACAAAGCTGGGATTAGGGCAGCATTCTAACCTGCAAACTCACTCAGGTAGAACAAGCTCTGTAGGCTATTATGGGTAATGGTATTACCCATAATGGAATTACACTCTACCACAGTGCCCAAGTTTTATTCTTATATCTGTAGGCTAAATGACCCTGACGGTTGATCCAGTTAGACAAAATAATATCATTTACAAAATACTTTGCAGTGACTGTGAGAGAGGTCAAACTATTAGATCGGACGGGGTAGTCAGATTGTCTATGAGGACATAAGAATTAAGGTAAGGTAAGAATGGTTGATCCCACCCA